GGCAGTGTTTCATTCTGCTGTGCATAGGGTCGCTATGAGTCAGTACCGACCCGATGGCACCTAACAACAACAATGGTTGCAGAACACTGTAATAATAAAAAACACTGAATTATACACACAGAAATGGTGAATTTTGTGATGGATGGATTACATCATGATTAAAAGAGAGAGAGAGAAAGACAAATTAGGAATATTTCTAGTTTAAGGAAGGACTCTGTAGAGAGAGGCCAGGTCTGTCTTCCAACCAGACACCCTGGCATGAGTCTTCTGGGTTGCAAGCTGTGAATATGGCTAACCTTAGAATATGTTAGAAAATATTTGACTCGTCTATGGGGCAGTTGGAGTGTGGTTCTTTCCCTCTCCAAACTGTTCTTTAGTCTTCCTCATGCTTTGTTGTTTCTTTGTTTGCTTATTTAGACTTAACAAAGTATAGCATATTCAAAATGTATTCAAAGCTAGAAAAGTACATGATAGGATAAAATTCCTCTTGATTGTTTGCTGATCAGCTAAACTTTAGTTGTGACAATAGTTAATAATAATAATCCTCTAAGAAGAATACATTGTTGAGGAAAAGAATGTTTGCCTAAAAAGGACCATTTTCCTCGTCTCCCGGTGTTTCTCAACTGCATGACATGTGTTTCCTCTCCCTTTTTAAAAAAAATTTTGTTTCCTTGGGTCTCTATATTTTGTCCTCTTTTTACACAAGGAGCCCTGGTGCCACTGTGGGCTAGGTATTGTGCTGCTAACCACAAGTGGGTGGTTCTGGTCCACCAGCTGCTCCTCAGAAGATATATGAGCTATGTGCTCCCTAAAGATTTATAGTCTCGGAAACCCTACAGAGGGTCGCTGTGAGTCGGAATCAACTTGATGGCAGTACGTTTGGTTTTGGTTTTTGGTTCTCCACGCTTTAGTGCTTGTAAATTTAAAATTGGATTGAGCAAATCTAAACATTTTATTTGTTTTGAGTACCACAGTTAATAAAAATCATATATGAATAAATGTGAAATTTTACATATTTGGATGCTTTCTAAAATCCATAAATACCTGTGCTGTACTAATACTGTACTGAGAGCACCGGGCTGCTAACAGCAAGGTTGGCAGTTCAAACCTACCAGCTACTCTTTAAAAACCCTAACCAGAGTCTCTATGAGTCGGAACTGACTTGAATGCATATAACAATAATAAGAGTCCCTGGGTGGCTCAAATGGTTAAGTACTCCACCATCAACCAAGAAGTTGACAGTTCAGACCTAGAGTCACCTTGGAAGACAGACCTGTTGATCTGCTTGTGAGCTGTCTCCGTCTTGAAAACCTTATGCAACAGTTCTACTTTGGGATACGTAGGGTTGCCTTGAGTTGGAATCCACTCAGTGGGCAACAAACAAGAGCAACAATACTGTATTCTCAACACCAGCAATGAGTTTTTAACCTTTGTACGTACATCTTGAAGCATTTGTATTTGTTATATACACTTTGAGAGTATAGAAGTGAAGCTCCACGTAACTTAGGGTAATTCAGCCTTTATTTTAAATTCTCAAAAAATGAATACAAGGAAGTAATATATGTTCATTGAATTTATATAAAATTGTTGATCAGGTATATGCACCACTGTCACAAAGAGACTTCCATGTGTTGCTCATCTGCTTCATTTTATAAGGCAGCGTATAGATTTTAGGAAGTATCAAAAGCCTTGTCTTCTACCCTTCAGAACTAGACTCGGACTCAGTCTCATGAATCAATTTTCAGCCAAACAACAGACAAAAACATATCTGTAATATAAATAATAACATAGGGCAGTATGTACTCCTTAGAATAATCAACGATTTGAGATCAAAATGGCAGCATTTATCTAAGAATAAGATTAAGAAGGCTTAGGGAAGGAGGTAGCGTAGTGGTTACGAATCAGGCTGCGAACCGGAAGGTCAGCAGTTAGAAACTACCAGCTGCTCCGTGGGAGAAAGATGAGGCGATCTGCTCTTGTAAAGATTTACAGCCTCGGAAACCCAATTCATGGTCGCTATGGGTCGAAACTGACTCGACGGCACTTAACAACAACAAGGGAAGGAGGAATGGAAACAGGAAACACAGGGAGGAAGTGGGATCAGTGATGTTACATTGTGGAAATTGCAACCAGTGAGCTGAAATAAAATGTGTGTGATTTGTTGAAAGGAAAACTGATCTGCTTTATAAATCTTCACCCAATTCACAATAAAAAGTTTAAAAAAAGCAACAACAAAAAAACCCAATCTTACATTCACCAAAATCATAGTTATTAATTTTGATTGAGAAGAGTAGGCATTGGAAACTATGGGAGCAAGATGTTTGAATGAAAATTAAGGCCTGAAATCAATGAACTGGTTCATTCAATGTCTTTTCCTAACATGTGATCCTGTGTGTATTTCTTTTTCCTGCCAGGTTTAAGAGCAGGACTAGCTGCCTCGATTGCTGGGAGTTCTATTATCAACAAAATGTTACTAGCAAATATTGATCCTTTTGGTGCAACACCATTTATTGACCCAGATCCAGATTCATTGTAAGAAAATACTTTTGCAAATATTTTGTTTTGGCTTTCATTGTCTCTTGTCTTCTATTAATTATAACATTTTAAAAAATGCATTGCAATATATATGTTTTCACAAAAAGGATAATCAGAAAATCTATTCAAAAGTTATTGATGATGAGCACTTTGGCTCATTTGAAATTCCTCAGTTTCTATGGTCTGTCCACAAACAAGGTTCCTATTCAACTGTCCCTGCTCTTCTGTCTGGTAGGAACCCAATGACGAGGATTCCATTTTGCAGTGCCTTCACACCCATGTTTACCTCTGACCCTTCTTTTTACTTCTCAGTCTCACCACATCTAGTCATTGTTCAAGTTCAGTTTCTGGATTTACGTATTTCAGCAAGCTCCTGCCCACATTGATCTCTCCTTCCTCAGAGCAAATAAAAACTTTCAGCATTGAAGGAATACTTCCTTTTTCCATTTAAAAATTTGGATTTGTGATGTCTTGTTTATCAAATGATACTCCTCAAGGAAGGGTTTAAACCTAACAGGATGGACTGGGTCTAGTACTTTTTGCTCAATCAATACTTGTCCATTGTTGAGAGTCGATGTGAAGGAGCTGTTCTAATGAGAGGAACATTGGCCCTCCCATTGTCGCCCTGTCATGTCTCTGGTAGTGTAGTGGTTACGAATCGGGCTGTGAACTGCAAGGACAGCAGTTCGAAACTACCAGCTGCTCCACGGGAGAAAGATGAGGTATTCTGCTCCCGTAAAGATCTATAGCCTCGGAAACCCTGTACGGGGTCGCGATGGGTTGGAACCGACTCCACGGCACACAGCAGCAGCAGCAGCATGTTTGTGTAGTAAGGGGACTAGAAGCACGAAGACCCAGAAAAGTAAACTATGACTCTGTCCTGTTGTCCCATGTCCACCCTCCCTTTATACCATGGGTACCGAGAGTTGTACATCTACGGGGCTGTAGACATGGACGATTATGGAGAGCGATTACTGCAACATTTAACTCTTCTAAGGAACGAAAACTTAATTTGAGGAGTTTTAAGTACAATTTCGTATACAAATTTTAACTGTTTTCATGAACCTACAACTGATGGACTTTTAATTTTTTTTTTTTTTTTTGTCTTATCATCATAGAGATGGATATTCAGAAAAATGTGTCATGAACAATTACTTTGGGATTGGATTAGATGCCAAAATTTCGTTAGAATTTAATAATAAGCGAGAAGAGCACCCTGAAAAATGCAGGTAATTTTGGTATCAGCAACAATATTGTTAAGTGTAGGCAATTCTATGTGAATTTTATTTTTCATCTCTTTCACTTGAAGAGCAATTAATAAGCACTACTTACTGAAATGCATGCCAACATTGATTTTCAGGAGCCGGACTAAAAACTTCATGTGGTATGGAGTCCTTGGAACCAGGGAGTTACTACAGAGATCGTACAAGAATTTAGAACAAAGGGTTCAACTTGAGGTAAATTCATCTTGAGGACAATCTGAAATTGCCTTTTTCAATTGAGAAAAAAATTTCAATTGTGGAGGTGTTTTAGCCAAAATTCTTTTTGATTAACAAACCCATAAGCGGTAAAATAGAACAAGGCTTTTTAAATGGCATTGTCAGCTTTATACTAACAAAGAGGTAGATTCTGGGTATCAATGACAACTTAACTTTTACTGTCACTAAACCAGTTGGTTGATTTAGACTTGTTGTTGTTGTTGTTGTTGTTGTTAGTGGCGTTGAGTCAGTTCCGATTCATAGTGACCCAACACAGGGTCAGCTGGTGGATTTGAACTGTCAACCTTGTGGTTAGCAGTCCAGTCATATATACCAGAGTAGAACTGTACTCCGTAAGATTTTCAACAGCTGGTTCCTTAGCAGGAAGTTGCCAGTTTTTCCACGGTGCCTTTGGGTGGGCTTGAGCCACCAACCTTTCTATCACCAGCCAAGGACATGAACTGTTTTTACTAGCCAGGGATTCCTCATTATCTCTTCGATATTGCAAGCCTCAACTTGCGGTTATAAAGGAATCTGTGGACCAAAAATTGAACAATGAGAGAAGCAACAAAAGAAGCTAGAAGGAATACACAAGCACTGGACCCAAAAGAATTGGTCAGCATTCAACCATTTCTCGAGGTAGCATATGATCAAGAACTGAGGGTAATGAAGGAAGAATTCAAGCTGCACTGTAGGCATTGGCAAAAACCAAGAACCCAGGAACTGATGGAATACAAACTGAGATGTTTCAACAAGCAGATACAACATTGAACGCACTCACTCGTCTATGCCAAGAAATTTGGAAGACAGCTTTCTGGCCAGGTGACTGGAAGAGAGCTGTATCTGTGCCTATTCCAAAGATAGGTGATCTAACCAAATGTGGAAATTACTGAACAATGTCATTACGATCTGTGCAAGGCCAGTTAAACTGAAGATAATTAAAATTGATTGCAGTAGTACATCAACAGTGAAATGCCAGAAATTTAAGTCAAATTCAGAAGAGGATGTGGAAAAAGGGATATCATTGCTGATGTCAGGTGGATGTGGCTGAGAATCATAGAACACTAAAAAGAAGTTTACTTGTGTTTTATTGAATATACAAAGGCATTCAATTGTGTAGATGATAAAAAATTATGGATAAAGTTGAAAAGAGTGAGAATTCTAGGACACTCTGCCGTGTTCATGTGGAATGTGTACTTGGGACAAGAGGCAGTTGTTCATGCAGAACAAGGGGATACTGCATGGCCTAAATTCAGGAGAGATATGTATGTCTTTTGACCTTAATTATTGAATCTGTATCCTGAACGAGATGAAGGAGAACAGAGTATCAGAATTGGAGGAAGACTCGTTAAAAATGTATAATATGCAGATGACACAATCTTACTTGGTTAAAGTGAAGAGAACTTGAAGCTCTTACTGATGAAGATCAAAGACTACAGCATTCAGTATGGATTACAGCTCAGTGTAAAGAAAACAGACTCCTCACCAGTGAACCAATAGGCAGCATTATTATCAGCGAGAAAAGATTGGCATTGTCAAGGATTTCATTTTACTTGAATCCACAATCAACGCTCATGGACAAAGCAGTCAAGACGTATTGTATTGAGCAAATCTGCAAAAAAACCTTTTTCGTGTATTAAACAAAAATCACAAAGATGTCACTTTGAGAAGTAAGGTGAGTCTGACCCAAGCCATGGTATTTTCAGTCACCTCATATACATGCAAATAAGGAAAACTGAAGGTAGAATCCATGCACTTGAATTAGGGTGTTTTCAAAGAATATTGAATGTTCTGTAGACATCCAGAAAAATGAACAAATCCATCTTGGAGGAAGTACAGCCAGAATGCTCCTTAGAAGCAAGGATGACTTCATCTTATGTGTTTTGGACACATTATCAGAAGGGTCCAGTTCCTGGAGAAGGGTATCACACTTGGTAAAGTAGAGGATCAGCAAAAAAGAGAAAGATCCTCAAGGAGCTGAATTGACTGAGTGGCTGCAGTAATGGGCTCAAACAACATGATTGTGAGGAAGGTGAAGGACTGGGCAGTGTTTTGTTCTTTAGCACTTACGTTCCCTATGAGTCGGAACTGACTCAGTGCCACCTAACAACAACAAGTGTTATTTTATTATTTTTCGTTGTTATTGTTGTTGTTGTTAAGTGTCGTTGAGTCTGTTCATACTCATAGAGACTCTGTATAGAGATTCCGAGGAGCAACTGGTAAGTTTGAACCTTCAACCTTGTAGTTCAAACCAACCTTGCAGTCCAGTGCTTATCCTACAGTGCCACACCAGGACTCCTATCTTTCATTTAGTAACTTAAAAAAAAAAATCTGTCTCCTTAGTGGTTTTCTTTTTTCCTTATTAGATGAAATCAAGCACATAGCATTAAGAAAATTAGTTCAGGAGACAGCATTCATAGAAAAGGTACCACTTCTGCTTTCACTCAGTAGGAATTTATTAACATGTAGTAATTACTTCACCAGCCATATGGCATTTTGTTTTTTTTGTTTGGTTTTTCCATTTAATTTTCATTGAAGTGATAAATTAGAAGGCAAGAAATATCAGGTGCCTTTCTATGTGCATGTTTTATAACTTGACTTTGATTGTGACTACAGGTGGTCCCCGACTTATGATGGGGTTAAATGGTTGTAAATGATTATCTCTGTCTTAAGTTGGTTCTGACTGAAAGTCGAATCTCTCTTGGTACAGTTTTCATTATGACTGCATTTTTTTTTTTTTTTAAAGGAGGGTTTCATTATGTTTGGTAGCATTTAAATTTTTTTATATGTATTTATGTGTGCATTTACATCCTCTGTGTTTTTGGGTTGTTTTTTTTTTTTAAGTTTTTGTTGCGAATTCAGTGATAGTTTACGTGGAAGAACATTGGTGGTTTTACACTCATCGTTTCATTGCAATGATTACAGTCTCCTCTGTGCATCATCATTCAACAATATTTGCTTCTATTCCCTCTGGGTTTTTTTTGTTTGTTTGTTTTTGAGGGGGTGGGGGGCAGTTGTACACAAAAACACTCAGGAATATATTATCATTTAAACAACCAAAGCACATTCTGCAAGCCTGCCTCCTGGCCACTAGCACATAGCCTTTCTCTTTCCATGACTCTAGAGCCCTCAGCTGCTCTCTCTCTCCATGTCCTCATCTCTGCCTCCATCTCTGGTGGCACTGCTTCTCTGGGTAGGGTCCCACATTGCGCTCCATTATCCCTGCCTTTTACTACAGTATCTTTATAAAGCTTTTCTTTGGGGAGTTGGAAACATTCCATGTAAGCATCTGCTTATGAACATCTGAGAATGGTAACATCAGCAAATTATGTGCTGCAAAATTATATGTGGTACATATTACTACTGACAAGTCGTACATACCCTGGCAGTACAGATAATTAAGTGCAGTTCTCAGTAGCTCAGATCCATTCATAAATTGGGCTCTCCCTGTACTTGAAAATCTCCGCTTGGAGTTTAGCCAGTTAAAGTTAGTCATAAAGCAGTGGCAGTGTCCCCAGGCCTGATAGAGGTGCTAGGTGAGATTTGGAGGACCAGAGCTTTCTCTCTGTTAAGGCTGATGGGAACATTTGGAAACATAATGGTGACGGTTGAACATATGATGAATGTAATTAATATCACTGACTTGTACATGTGAAGTCTGTTGAGATGAAAAATATTTTGCTACATATGTATTTATCACATTTAAAAGGAAAAAAAGGATATTTAAAATAAGTATAACTGTAGAATCCTGGTGTGGCACTGTAGGATGGCACTGGACTGCTAACAGCAAGATTAGTGGTTCAAACCTACCAGCTGCTCCTTGGAAACCCTTTACAGGGTCACTGTGAGTTGGATCTGACTCAAAGGCACTTAACAACAATGACGAGCACAATGCAAATGAGAATGTCTAAAGTGACCTGAAAAGGATTTGGGAAAAGTAATGCCTAATTTTGGAAGAGAGAAGAGTTGAGTTTGGTTTTTTGTTTTGTTTTATTTTTTAAATTCTGTTTTCTATAATAGCTTTTGTTAGGGTTATCTATGCTTTAATATTTTTAATTTTAAAAGATAAAGGCCTGGATAGTGTGTAAAAGCAAACTTATCAACACACTTTATTCCATTGCCCTTCGTTTTTAGTGTTCTAGTATCTTCCATCCTAGTGGCGTGGGGCTTTGCATCTAACTGCTAGTATTTTTGTTTTGCAGTGTGATGGACAATATATTCCTCTTCCAAGTCTGCAAGGCATAGCAGTGTTAAACATCCCCAGCTATGCTGGTGGCACTAATTTCTGGGGTGGAACTAAAGAGGATGATGTAAGTAGCACAAGAAGTTTGTTTCCTCAAAAATAATGAAATTACTGGAAAAAAACCTGATGTTTTAAACGTGGTAATCAATCACCTGTCATTCATTTCTTCCATTGGAATGTGCCTTTCTTTTCTCATTGGGAGATGAGAGGTGAAGCAGATTTTAAAAGATTTTATTTATATGGTCTCTCATTGATATATTTTGGTATCATTATATGTTCTGTCTATATATAGATGCATCTGTCTTGGAATATATTTAAAATTGTTCTAGGTGGACACTTTTTTTGTAAAAGAGATTTAAGGGCTGAAGAAGGGAATTTTTTACTTTTTCCTTTCAAACCTGTATTCGTTTTCTATTGCATCTACAAGGTTAATGGCTTAAAACCTTTATTTTCTTGCACTGTGTATGACATAAGTTATGATATATGTCTAACAGGTTAACATCAGTGTGCTGGCAGGGCTGGGTTCCTTCTGGAAGCTCTGGAGAGAATTCCCTTCCTTGCCCTTCCCAGCCTCAGAGGTCTCCCACATTCCTTGGCTTGTGCCCCTTCCCCCAGCCTCATCTTCTAAGCTGATAAGGGCATCACTCTCAGCTCCTTTTCTGAGACCCTTTTGATTACCTTGGACCCACCAGATGATCCAGGATAATCTCTCCGTCTCAAAATCCTTAACTTGATCACATCTGAAAAGCCCATTTTTCCATTTAAGGTCATTTTCATAAGATCAGGGGATTATGACGTGGCCATTTGGAGTGGCGTGATTCAGCCTATTATGATACCTTTCTGTACTTCCAACTTTCCAAATATAAATATATGTATTTTAGGAGAAAGATGAGGCTTTTTTCTGCAAAGATTCACAACCTCAGAAGCCCTGGACAGGATTGCAATGAGTCAGAACCAACTCAACAATGCTTAACAACAACTGACCAATTTTCTCAGGGTTAGGAATCAACTCTGTTAGCGTAGTGGATTACAAGCTGGGCTGCTAACCACAAGGTCGGCAGTTCGAATCTACCAGCTACGAAAGATGAGGTTTTTGTGCTCCCATGAAGATTTACAGCCTGGGAAACCCTATACAGGGTTACCATGGCACAACCAGCAACAACCAGGAATAATATGGGGAACACAGTGACTCCATCCATATGGTAAACAACGAACTGAAAACCACAGGTCTGAATTTTGAGCCCACCAGCAGTTCTGTGGGAGAAAGATGAGGCTTTCAGATCCTGCAGAGATTTAAAGCCTTGGAAAACCCTATACAGGGTCACTGTAAGTTGGAACCGTCTCCACAGTACATATCATCAGTGTACACACATACATTTAAATATTTTAAAATCTAACAAATATATTAATGTAACAAATGTAATTATTTTTAAATTCTTAAGGTTTATATAGCAACAATACAACTGAGAAGTGTCATTACAATCTTTGCTTGAATAATCATATACATTGATGGATTGATAGGCCCTTGGATTTGAGGCTTATGATTTAATAACTCCAACTTGACCACACTTAACAACAACAACTGATTCATTTGGTGCCTCTGTACAATAATCAATGGACTTTGAACCACAAAGTCAACGGTTTAAGCGACCAGGCACTCCATGGGAAAAAGATGAGGCTTTCTGCTCCCACAAAGATTTACAGCCTGGAAAACACAAGTCGTTACGCGTCGGAACCGATTCAACAGCACTTAACAACCTAAGCATTTTCTGTGAGCTCTTAAATGCACAGACCGGATTAAAGTTTAAAATAGATTGGAAAATGTTTGTAGTTCTCATAATATGAACATAGTCCAATCCTATTAAATATAAAATTTTACATTAGCCGTCAACAGTTTTCGTTAGTATGTCACTACTCAAACATTTATTTTGTGGGTACGAAATCAACGAAATAGAGATAAATAAAGCCAGCATTGCTTGAACACCTACTAGGTTGGCAAGCAATAGTCTAGTAACTTCTCATTCATTATCAAATCCCCACAGTTTTTATCTAAATTTTGCCATTGAGAAGACCTAGCAGAGGCAGGATTCAAATCCAGGCAATCTGATATAATAAGAGTGATAAGCAATCATCAATATTAGTAAAGTCTTGTCTTGATATTTTCAATGTATGTTTTATTTAGGATACTCCTTTATATTGTATTCCGCCCCACACACACACATAAGTATTTGATGTAGAAAGGAGAGAATAAAATGAAAAAAGTACTATAGCATAAATTTAGAGTTAATTTTGGAAAAACTCCACTTAATGTAAAATCAAAATCTGTCTACATATTTTTCATCCATTGAGTTTTTTTTAATTGTCTCAAATTCTCTAAAAAATATATTAAGATATAATGCGCATATGTGTATTGATTATTGTTAAATACCATCGAGTTGGTTCCAAATCATTGCAACCCTGTATGGGAGGCCAGGATGGCCAAACTTCGTCTCTCATACTTCGGACATATTGTCAGGAGGGACCAGTCACTGGAGAAGGTTATCATGTTTGATAAGGCGGAGGGTCAGAGAAAAAGAGGAAGACCTCTAGCGAGATGGATTGACAAAGTGGCAGCATCAGTGGACTCAAGCATGGCAACAATTGTGAGGTTGGCCCAGAATTGGACAGTGTTTTGTTCTGTTGTGCTATGAATCGGTAGCGACTCAATGGTACCTAACAACAACAACATGAGATTTCCAATGAGCGGCTGGTGAGCTTGAACTGTCAACTTTGTGGTTCAAAATTGACTTTGCCTCCAGCACATTAACCCACAGTGCTATACCAGGACTCCATGCATACTGATACCTTGCTAGATTTCCCAAAAGAATAGAGCCTCTTAGAAGACAGTACATGAACAGGCTCGTACTTGCTCGTTCATTAACTTTTACCTTATGAAATCTGTACCACCTTCAGGCTTTGTTGATTTTTTAAGCTTGCATCCATCATTTTATCAAGGTATCTGAATTATGTATGAACAGGTTGTGTGCCGTGATGAGTTATCACTACTCCAAAGGGAGCTTTAGGAGAGGCGTGGATGTTACTTGTATGTGGGTTTTAAAAGCTTCTTTATTATGTTGATTTTCAGCTATCTTCAGAAATTTCTTCTCCTCTCAAATTATTAATATCTACTATTATATTACTCTTCTGCTTACTATTTTTGTAAGCTTATATTTAGAATTTGCATTGTTTATGTAAACTCTAAATATGGATCTTTAATTTTTCAGTGGAAGTGCAATGTAGTTTTTCCTTTCAGATATTTGCAGCACCGTCATTTGATGACAAGATCTTGGAAGTCGTTGCTGTCTTCGATAGTGTGCAAATGGCCGTTTCACGGGTCATTAAGCTACAGCATCACCGAATAGCCCAGGTGTGTTTCTGTAATCAAATCTGATGGCATTACTTGGGCCACTATGGGGAGGAGGGGTGTTGGGGTGGGGAGGTACCCCTACACTGTAGGTTCATCTGTAGAACACTTTCTCTCCCTTCCCGTTGTCATTGTGGTGTTGCGGTGTAAAGTATAACGTTATATAGAATACTTTTGCTAATTGCTTTCCAGTCAATTTCTACTCACAGTGACCCCATGCATACAGAGTAGAACTACTCTATAGGGTTCTCAGTACTGTGACAGTTTCGAAACAGATGCCCAGGCCTGTCTTTCAAGGTGCTGCTGGCTAGCTTTGAACTGCCCACCTTTCAGCATAACTTTTTGTACCACCCAGGGACTCCATGTCTACAGAACAGAGTGTTCTGAGCTCTGAACTCAAGCTTGAATGCAGAATAAATGTAAAATTATAGGATGATTTATATCTTATAATAACTTAATTTTTTTTTTTTTAATTGCAGTGCCGTGCAGTAAAAATCACTATATTTGGTGATGAGGGACTTCCGGTCCAGGTGGACGGTGAAGCCTGGGTGCAACCTCCAGGGATTATCAAAATTGTGCACAAAAATCGGGCTCAGATGCTAACAAGGGATAGAGTATGTAACAAAAAATGGTTTTCCTAGACTTTTTCTAACCTGTTTTTTAAAATCTGAAATTGTTCTGAAAAGAATATATAGAAAACAAGGAAAAGGATTTAAGTCTCCTGTCACCTGGGACATCTGCGGTTTGAAATATAAACACATATGCTCATTTTAAATTAAATTTTAAGTGAAGCTCACACCTTTAACTGTTTGTTACAGATTGCCCATAGCCATTCTATCTAGCATAATAAATATAATATAATAGAGATCGGAGCATAAATTGAAGCTTTTTATAACTTTTCAGTGATACATTCATTTTCACAAATTATATTAACTTATCCTACATTAAAAAAGTTGAAATATCTTTTTTCTATTTGTCACTTATTTGATGTGATGTTAGATTAGGAAACAAGCCACTATAATTTCAAAGCCAAATATATGCTACCTAAATGTACATTTCTTAGGTCCTCAGAGCTGTCATCTAACAAGTTATTGTGATATTGATTTAAAATAGGCTTTCGAAAGCACTCTGAAATCTTGGGAGGATAAGCAGAAATACGATTCTGGTAAATCAGTTATCCGGACCCATTTGTACATTCATCACGCTGTTGACTTGGCAACAGAAGAGGCGTCGCAGATGCAGCTGTGCTCCCAGGCAGCCGAGGAGCTCATTACTAGGTACGGCGAGCTTGTTGGCTTTCAGACTAGAACTGTAGCCTGAGCCAGCTTCTTAAAAAATTTAAATACTTAATTTCAGTTGCTAGTGAGGTCTGAAAAAGTGGTCTTCTTTTTCTTCTTCCTTTGTGACATCGTTTGTGCCTCAGAATTGCTGTTGTTGTCAGCCTTTCCCCACTCCCAATAGGTGTTCCCTATAGTCTGAATCAGAGGGTTTCCCTAACACAGTGGTGAGCTTAACGAACGTACCCTGCCACACAGTGCTCCTTCCGGTCTTACTTGTTTCCACATCCTATACACAGTCTTTACACTGTACCACCCACATACCTGTTGCATTTGTTGTTGTTAGATATGATTGAGTTGATTTTTGACTCATTGTGACCCTATGTGACAGACTAGAACTGCCTCATAAAATTTTTCTAGACTGTACAGCAAGTCCTGGGATGGTGCTGAAGAATAAGCATTGGACTGATAACCACAAGGTCAGTGGTTCAAACCCAACAGCCATTCCTTGGAAACCCTGTGCAGGGTCACTATGAGTGGGAACTGACTCGAAAGCCCTTAACAACAATAGCCTTAACAGAGGCACCCTGGTGATGCGGTGGTTAAGCACTCAGATTGTCAACCAGAAGGTTGGCGGTTCAAATCCAGCAACTGCTGTACAGGAGAAAGATGTGACAGTGTGCCTCAGTAAAAATTTACAGCCTTAGGAACTATGGGGCCGTTCTTCTCTGTGCTCCGGGGTTGTTAGGGGTCAGAGTCGACTTCATGGCAATGAGGGAACTTTACAGGAGCAGATCACCAGGTCTTGTCTCACATGGAGTCACTGGGTGGTACATTCAAACTGCTGACCTCTCGGTTAGCATCTGAGGACTTAACCATTGCAGTACCACCATGCCATTGCCAGCAAATCGATATAAAGAGGCTGAAGCTCATTGGTTCATTGCTAGTGAACCAATATAAAGAGACTGATGCTCATTGGTCCATTGCTAGTGAACCAATATAAAGAGACTGATGCTCATTGGTCCATTGCTAGCAAACCAATAAAAGAGACTGATGCTCATTGGTCCATTGCTAGGGAATCAATATAGAGACTGATGTTCATTGGTGGTTACGAGGGTTGAGGAGGTGGAGGGAAAATTGCTCACTAGAGCAGAGGTAGCTGTTCTTTTCATGATAGGAAGGTAGCATAGAAGGTGAGGTGAAAGTGTGCATTGGGACCAGTGGAAACTATGCCACCAAGAAGTTCCCAAGAGAAAAGGATGTTTGTGCTAAAGAGGGTCACATATATACTTTGACACCAAGGCTAACAATAACCAAAAAAAAAAAAAAGAGTGTATGGTCACATCTGTATGTATCCAAGCACATAGGTGTGCAGGTAGGTATTTATAAGGGCATATGTGTACAGATACGAGGGGGCTTCAAAAAGTTCATGAAAAAATTCTATTATCTTTTCATCCCATTTGAGCATGAACTTTTTGAAGCCCCCTTGTAGTGTGTGTGCATGTTATAATCATAGAGGGCACAGTTGCAGACATAACTGCTCAGACATAGCCAAATACCTTGCAAGAATGGTTTTCTGTCTTAGGACCTTAGTCTCATGGGACAACTCGGTTGCGTAACATCACACAGTCCATGTTCTGCATCCCAGTGAGGTGAGGCACGCCTGGGGTCTTAAAAGCATGCCAGCAACTGTCTAAGATACAACTGTTGGTCTCTATTCAGTAAAAGCAAAAGAGAAAGAAGCAAACCAAAGTCTCATAGAAGAAGGTAGTAATCTACAGAGCTAATAATCTACATGAGACATAGTCACATCTACCCTGAGACCAGAACTAAATGCTGCCTCCCACCACTACCGACCATTCTGATCAGGACCACAACAGATGGAACTGGATAGAATGGGAGAAAAATGCAGAATTTTCTTTAAAAATGTATTGGACCAGTTGAGACAATTGCCTGGAAATACTCTTTAAACCTTGAACCAAAACTATACCTTTTAGCCAAATAACAGATCGGCACACAATATAAAAAATAATATGATCTGTGAGTACACTGCTCCGTTAAAAAACCTACATGAGACCAAAAGGTGAAAAATGACTCTAGAGCAAAGATGAGAAGACAGAGGGACTGGGAAACTAGAATGCTGGAAATGGAACAATCTGAACACAATTGAAGAGAATGGTGACACTTTATGAAAAATGTACATGTGGTATTCATAGTTTGTAGGTGGCCACCCATCCAAAGTACAGCTGGTTTCTGTTTGCCAGGAGCAATAAGAAGGAAGAATCAGGCGGGGGAGGAAATGGAATAGGAGACCAGTAACCTCCATGAACAAATGCCCTTTTTGCTGTCAGACCAAAATAACTAGATAGTGCCTGGCAAACTGACATTGCTGACAATTTTGTTCAAAGATTCTGTTGAAGACTCCTAAACACAAAGGGGAAAAAGCAAAACAGAATTTCACATTTTTATGGAATCCAGCCTTTCTGCAGCCACAGAAGCTGAATGAACCTCCGAAACTATTGCACTTGTTAAACCAAATGTATCCTCTGGAGTCATCTTAAAGCCAAACAGATTTTTGGTTTTAACTTTTATAGGACGCCTGCCTTGAGCATTGAGCTTTGTTAAGATCTATGTATATGGGATGAATTTGGCAACAGCAACTTGATAGAGATAGGAACCATATTAGACACAGGAGGTACCGAGATGAGTGCGCTTTGGCCCTTTGTCCATAGTTGCTCACAGAGTAGCAGGAGTGAGAAGCGTGACCTAACTTCTGCTCAGGGTACAGTGTGGGCACTGTGGATGCACACAGCAGGCCACAGGAAATATAGGAGGGCTACCTGGAGGAAGTAACCTTTGTGCCAAGTCTTGAGAGAAGAGTAAGAGAAGGAGAATCTAAACAGGAACCAACCTGTTCAAAGGTGCAGAGGAGGGTGTGTGTGTGGTATTATCACAATTTGAGGTAACTGAAATGTTGACATAGTACCAGAGTAGTTCAACATAGACAGAGAGGTACAGACCAGGTCATAAATGCAAGGGCCGGATCCTACTGGAAACAGTGCCACCAGTATTTCAAATACCAACAGGGCAACTTAGAGTGGACAGTTTTCAGCAGAACTTCCAGACTAAGACAGACTAAGGAAAAAGGCCTGATGATCCTCTTCTAAGAATTAGCCAACCCTTATGAATAAAATAGAATGACTTGCTTTGGCCACATCACAGGAGGCATACGTTGTTGGAGACATCATGTTTGGTGAAACACAGGACCAGCACAGTTGCAGGACAACCTCAGGGAGAGGGATTGGCAGAATAGCTATAGAGATGGGCGTGGCAGCATCAGGACTGGGTAACCTCTTGTTCTCTTGTACACAAGGTCACCATCCACCAATGCCAACTTGACAGCAGCCATCTATGGTGTGCTGAGAAGTTGGGACCTTTTCTTTCTTTCTTTTTAAACCTTTTGATTGTGAACTGAGTGAAGGTTTACAGACCTTGTCCGTTTTACATCCAACAAATTATTCACTTTGCTTCATCTCAGTGATGACAGATTTTGCCTTGCACAGGTTTTGGGGTTCACAGGTTTCACTGGATAACGATCCATGGAGGCTTCATGAAATCCATAGAAAAATGTAATGGAAAGATAATGGGATTTTTCAACAGACTTTTGGAAGTCCTTTCATATTTTGTTTTTCCAAATGGAACTTCATTTTGTTTCTCTGTTCTCTAAAGATTTTTAGCGCCATACACATTCTTTGCGGCAGTGGGATTAGAAACATGTAAAAATGTAAATTTCATGCAGTTTATAATTGAGTGATCATTTAAATTTTTTTTCCATACTGGTTTTTATATTGTATTTTTCACTGCCTTATCCTACCTCTTCAACATTTTAAACAATCAGCAGGGCTCAAAAAAGACTTTTGCTCACTGGCTTTGTTCTGTGTTTCTCTCTCAGGATTTGTGATGCTGCCACAATCCACTGCCTTTTGGAGCAAGAACTAGCCCACGCTGTCAATGCCTGCTCCCATGCACTGAATAAAGCCAACCCCAAGTACCCAGAGGTGAGGAGACAGTGGTCAATTCTCAGTCTACAGATGTTTTGGTGTGTTACACATATTTTTCAATATTATAAAATATACTACACCCTTAGCAAAAAAGTTATATAGTCATAGAAGTCTTGGTCAGAAACTTGTGATAAATTTGTAGCCAAATTTTTCTTTTAATTTTCCTTTCCCTGCCATTTTTCCATTCCCACTCCTAAATTCTGTCCATTTATCCTTTTTATTTCACTTTCGGTCCTTATCACCTTACCATCTTCTTTCTGGTCCTTCTCCTCTTAGTCATTCCTGTGTCCCTCCTTGCTCCTTCATGAACCCTCTCTCCTGAACCTCTTTGTAGGACATGCCTAGATAATGCAGTGGACATTTTGTTAGAGATGCCCGTTCACTTCTGAGTTATGCATTGAAACTACTTTTTATCTTATTTGTTATATTAACATGGAAATTGATGTTTCTGTACAATTTTAACCTAGAAGTTAGTAGTGGACAGAAAAAAACTGGTTTGAAATGTGATACATGGTTGCAATGCTATAGGATAGAAAGAAACTGACAGAAGTATTTTATTCTTTTTGTTATTCAATTGACGTTATACAAATAAATTCTGTTCCCCAAGATTACTATCTGTAAAACCATCTGATAGGAATTAACAAGAGTCAGTGGCTAGAACAAATTGTAATTAGATACTACCTCTTTTAAAAACATTATTTTCCTTAACTTAATTTTTGTATGGAAATGCATATGAGGGGGTTTCAAAAGTTCTTGGAAAAATTCCATTATCTTTGAATGGCATATTTCCACAGACTCTTGAAACTGCCTTATGTATAGTTGATAGCAGCCAACACGTGTCTGTACGTAGGAGATGGGATCCTAAATAAATCACTACAGTCATTGCATTCATCTGTGATATAATAATTAGAAGAGCTGTTATTATACTAGCAAGTGTGTGTGAAATTTCACAAGTGCAACAGAATTTTGGAATAAGTTCAAAAAAATACTTGATATATGAATTTAAGTTGTTTACTGATGGTTGAATCACACTTGAATTCAGAACCACTTGTCTTTGATGTTCTTCTTTTGTAGAGTCTTACCAGAGACATTGCCGCGGAGATAGCCGTGAACGTGAAGGCACTGTACAATGAAACGGAATCTTTACTAGTTGGCAGAGTTCCTTTGGTAAGGAAAGGAAACCACTGATGATATATCAAGAGTGATGACATGGATGGATGGGCCTTCCCTCCCCACTAGGGAGCATGCATTTGTCAGAGCCTAATGCAGAAGCAGCCTTGGTCTTGTGGTGTGCCATGGAGTCGGTTCTGACCCATAATGACCCTGCGTAGGGTTTCGGGGGCTGTAAATCCTTACAGGAGCAGAAAGTCTCATCTTTCTCCTGTGGAACAGCTGGTAACGAGCCCAAATCGTAACCAACGTGCTACCAGAGCTCCTTTGGCCTTGGTCTTTGGGGTTTCCTTTTTCCCTTGCTCTTGCCTTCAAGAAATCATAGCCCTGAGAGGAAGTAATGGTTCAGACTCCCAGGAGTAGAGGTTTTCCTTCATATGTGCAGGACAGTCTCGGTTCAGTCAACTTTGAACTTCATAAAGCGTTCTAGATAAGTAGAGTAAGTTATGTAAGTGTTTTCCCTGAGTTCATTTGAAGTATGATTGGGATGGTCCTCCAGACAGATGCAGGGTCTCCAATTCTGAATTTCAGGAACTCGCCATATCCCAAGTTTAGCTAAGATTGGTCATGGAGATCAACTTTAGGCTCACTCTAAATCCAGTACAGTCTGTGGATCTCAAGTGTAAGTACTAGAAGAAAGCCACAGATGTCCTATTAGCCGTGTTAGCGTTTCATTATGTCCACACGGGTTTTCAAATGTTCTTGCACGTTGGCTGTTGATGCCACCTAGTGGTCAGCTGTGGGTTATTCACAAATTCTAGTGTAATACTGTGTGTTGAGAAACTAATAATCTTCTAAACTAACCTTGATTTAACTGACCCAGCAGACCCCCTCAGAAGTCACCGTTTTGATTGTACCTTGGCTCTCTGTATCGTATTGGTAAATCCAAGACTTACCCCAGCTATGATTTATTCCATAAAATCATCTTCATTAGCAGCCTTGCTTACAAGACTGATAAAAAGACCAACTCTTTGAGTTAGCTCATCTTTGTATAATGTTTTTGGTAGTCATTGAACTGAAACCTCAATGAGACCAAGGAATTCACTTAAAATGGAAAATATGGAACCACATGAGTGGTAATGAATTCTATAGTCTACTTGCGCAAGTTTCTTGACTTTAGTCAGTTTCTATATTTGTTGAGGTTGATGATCTTTCCTATCTTGGCTCCTCTTTGAGGTCAATCTGGCTTTCCTTAAAAGGCTTGATTCATCTAAAAATGATTGTTTTATGTGGAGCAGCCTTTCTGTAAACTTGTTGCAACTCTTCAATGATTTGGGAACTTGTCAATTTGAATTTTGTTAAAAATTTGGTTTTAGCTATGGTCTCAAAATTCTTTTTTCCAGGCCACAAAAAGTGTTCCTTTTTTGAAAGCACCTTAATGAGACTAAGATAGGCGTGTTACTTGAGAGAACTTGTCTGCATTAATCCACTGCACGGACCTGTGTAAACATATTTGGTTTGGAATAAATCTGTGCATGTATGAACTGGAACCCTAGTAGCAATACTTATTGACTTATGTATTTGGGAACAGTTAATGTTTACTCTTCATTTTATTTCTAGAATGTGTATGTAATAACCCGTTTATCCATTTTATAAGACATATATTCTGTGGAGGTTCCTTGTTTTTATTAATGATAAGAAATGGTAGATTTTTTTAAACAACAGAAGAAACAAAAAACAATATCCATAGTAAATAACAGAATTATGCTTTCTGAACGTTCTGTTCTAAAATTCTGTGCATGTCTATGGACTTACTCTACAATTTTTCATTAACCCATAAAAGTATTGATGTGCTGGAAGAGACCTCAGAAATAATCTAATCACATCCTAATATTTATTTAGGAGGTAACTAAGGGTCTGAGTCAACTCTATGACAGTCGGTTTTGTCTGTGTGACTAGTTAGTTAGTAACCATGTTAGGACCAGAATCCTCGCATTTCAGAGCATACCAGTATTGACTTGATCTATGCTTATGTCCTGGTGTGGCATTGTAGAATAAGCACTGGACCTCAAGGTCAGTGGTTCAAACTCACAAGCCTCTACTTGGAAACCCTATACAGGGTCACTATGAGTTGGACCCAAGTCAGTGGTACTTAACACCACCACCATCAACAGTGTTCATAATAACTGCTTTCATTGGGTTAGTGTATATAATTGATGACCAGTTAATAGTGTCGTGGTTACGAATCGGGCTGCTAACCTCAAGGTCGGAAGTTCGAAACTACCAGCCATTCTGCAGGAGAAAGATAAGGCTTTCTACTCCTGTAAAGATATATAGCCTTGGAAACCCTGTACAGAGTCACTGTGAGTTGGAACCGATTCCACGGTACTTAACAACAACATTTCTCTTTGAAGCATCTAAGGCCACTTTTCTGACTAATACATTTTGATTAATCTACAGATTACAAGCCTTTCAGCCTTTTGCTTTGCCATGATTTTTATAAAAGCTTTCCATCAGACATGTTTCTGAGTTTTTATGTAGTTTTCTTTAAGCTTGTACTTCTGAGTCTCCAAGCAATTTGTGTGTGTGTGTGTGTGTGTGTGTGCCAATCAGTTCTTTTTATATGACAAGTTTTGACAAATTCTGAAAACTCTTATTTGTTCACATAGTGACCTATATAGATCAGAAGGATTTGGGACACAAATAAGTAGAATAATGACTGTTCAGCATCCAAGGAGGGAAAGCAAGGGGTTGGATGAGTGGATGGATAGAAAGAAAAGATCGAAAGAAAGAGAAGGGAGAGAGAGGGGTGTGGGAACATAAAATAAAAAAGGGGGGGGCAGTGTTTCCTCTGAGATATGATTAAAATCATATTAGCTACTTACATCTTCGTTGGGGCATAAAGAGTAGACAAAATCTGCCCAGATTTTTTAAAAAGTCAAGTCAACATAAAAGACTATGTTCTTTTTTCCTACTTCACAATAAAACCCTAGTGTAGTAGAAGATGAGGCTGTTCATTGTCAAAATGAAATAATTTGTTCTATTTGAAGGTGGCCACTAAGTCTGTCTTTGTTTTTCTTTTTAATCTGCTGGTAAATAGCAGTTGGAATCGCCACATGAAGAGCGAGTATCCGATGCCTTGCACTCCGTGGAAGTGGAACTACAAAAATTGACAGAGATTCCTTGGCTTTATTACATCTTCCATCAAAATGAGGATGAGGTATGTCAAATCCAACCTGGTTCCGGATAACCTGTAAGCTTTGACAATAGCATGTGAACTCATCCTCTGAAAAATATTCTCAGGAGAAAGTCAATTCTCAACACTACTTTGAAATGCATTGCTCTCGAACAAGTGAAAAATGGAATTCAGGTGAACAAAAGGGCGCATCAGTGTGTTCTCAGAAGAACATTAATCATGAGGGTTTTTTTTGACAAGGTTACCACTATCCAATAATATTTAATAACTAACTGGCTGCACAACGGTTAAGTACTTGACTGCTAGCCAAGAGGTTGGCAGTTCGAACCCACCCCTGGCTCCACAGGAGACAGATCTTATAATCTGCTTCCATGAAGATGGGTGGTGGTGCTGGTGGAGATGTGCTGTTGAGTTGGTTCTGACTTATAGGGACCCTGGATGGGGTTTCCCAGGCTGTAAATCTTTATAGGAACAGAACCCCTCATCTCTTCTGTGGATTGGCTAGGAGCTTCAAACTACTGACCTTGTGGTTAACAGCCCAACTCACAACCCACTACAACCCACAACCCAAGTTGATTCTGACCAGGCCTTGTTTCCATGAAGATTATAGCCGAGGACATTCAATGGGGTGGTTCTCTTCTGCCAGACTGAATTGCTATGAGTCAGAACAATCTCAACAGCATCTAACAACAACATAATTTCACTGTTCATAACTTATTCCTATGCTATCAGAGTGAGGCATTTTCGGTCTCTTAACATCCTCAAAAAGTTATTTTCTTACCCAATTTAAACAGGAGCCTCCAATGGATTGCACCAAAAGAAACAACAAGAGCACAGTATTCCGTATAGTGCCAAAGTTTAAAAAGGAAAAGGTTCCAAAGCCGAAGACAAGTTCACAACCTGGTAGGTGGTCCACCCTGGAGGGCAAAGTATAGCACTATGAAAAACACAACTTGTTAAAATCCTATCCTACCTAACCTAAGTTACAGTGTTCACCAGGAATTGATAGTTGTGAACCCCATAAGAAAAGGTACGTACCGATTTGTTTCTGCTTGGTTTGATGGATGTTAGTGGGTCTGTTTTGATGGTTCTTTATCTTTATCAATAGCAATACAGGGCGCCAGTATGTAACCTTGTTTGTTTCCTCTCAAAGTTCAAAATCTAGATCTCTTTAGTAAGCAGAACTTAGAAACTTTCATTTACTTCTTCAGCTTATTCTTTCATCTAACGTTCCATATTCTCTTTCCCCTGCTTTAAGGACTTACTACTCCATTTCAACCCTTCACTAATAACAATCTACTGTGATACCTGCATTTTCAAACAAAGTGTAACTGTCTTTGCTGCTTGCTTACCCCTAGAGAAGAAATTTACTGCTGACACCTTCAAATTCTGCGTAGGTAGTGGGAGATGCTTTTCATAATCAGATCATTTTCTAATTCTTCCAACTTCACTTTCTCTTTTAAAAAGTGATAAAACAATCTGTGATATTTATAAGGCAGCTATTTAAGGGAAATATAAAACTAAATAAAGCAAGTATACCTTCATCTAGCCAGTCAATGCTGATGAAAATGCATAAGATAGTGACTACAGTTGCTGAAAAAAATAATATAAGCCAACTCATCTTAGAGAGCAATGCTGACGCCATTCTATCGTGGCATAGTAAATTGAGTAAACCAAATATTAATTGCTATCATTGTTAATAGAAGTGGAATCAACAAAGGCAGCACTTGAAGTCAGCAAGAGCACAAACAATGGCTGAGTGCCCAATATCAGATTTTAAATTTTAGCTAGCATTTATAGCTCATTTCTGACTATAGTTGGCTTCATATATGGTCAAAGGAATTACAGTTAATTCTCATTATTCAGAGATTTCATATTTGTGATTTTGTTTACTTGCTGACATTTATTTGTAACTCCCCAAGCCAATGTCCACGGCACATTCCCAGCTGAGGTCAAACAGGATGAGCACTCCAATCATAAACAAGTGTCCATTTTAGGTCTATTTAGTGACACACTTTTCACGCGTCTGTGCTTTTTAGTTGGTGATTTTTGCAGTTTAAAATAATACCCAAGCATAGAGCTCAAGTGCTGCCTAGTGTCCCTAAGTGCAAGAAGGCTCTGTGACGTGACTTGTGGAGAAAATACATGTGTCAGATCAGCGTTGTAAAGGCATGAGTTGTAGTGCTATTTCTCTATATGAGTTTAATGTTCATGAACCAACAATATGTATTAACTAAAGTGTCTTTAAACAGAAACAAGGTTATGGATTGAACAGTTGACAAAATCTGTTGTTACCAGAGGCTCTCAGAGACCTAATCCAGTATTTCCCCAGGAGCAGCAGCTTAATGTTCAGTGTGACTTTATAGCATGTAACTACTGTGAAGGATGAGAATTCCCTGTAATCAGAGCTAATTTAGACTTTGTGTCACTAAGCCTAATCATGTGGAATATATTTTTTATGCCTACATCTATTCTTCACTTATTGACTGTCTTCTTATCCAACATTTCACATTTTCAGCAATAGCAAAAAATTATCTATTTTGCACATTAGTGTCGTCCGTCTGGCGCTGATGTGCAAGGAGAGAGTAATGTTGGCTCTGATAGTTAAGACCATGCGTCAACTTGGCAAGGCAAGGATTCTTAGTGATTTGGCAGCTGTTGTTGTTGTTGCTAAGGTGTTGCCATCGAGTTGGTTCTGACCGATAGCGGCCCTGTATAGGGTTTCCGAGGAGTGGCTGGTGAGCTTGAGCCACTGACCTTGTGGTTTACCCCAACCTTGCAGTCCAGCATGTTAACCCACAGCGCCATATTTGGAAGTTATGTAATGATGTAGTCATCCTTCATTCTGTGCTCTGATGTGGTTGTCCTTCATTTATGCATAAGGCCAATTTTCTCATAATGATCTGTGAGGAGTGGGGTGAATTTTGTAGTTTGAACTGCTTTAATGAGGGAGCAGGACTAAATCCAAAGGCCTGGCAGGCAGCACAACAGTGAATGTCTTTGTGTAGCCATATCCTTGTGTTTATTGGCAGTTTGTAACCTGCATGGGGGGAAAAAAGAAGGTGAAGCTTTGTTGGAACAGCACCTTTAACCTGTCCCTTCGGCTAGCACTGCTGCTCAACTCTGTTTTGCATCTTCTTTGGCCAACCTTTGCTTTGTGATGCATTGAGCATGTAGAAATTAAGGGGGTTTTGCTCTTAACTTTGGTAGTTCAGAAATGGGGCACAGAGGAAGTTGCTGCTTGGCTGGATCTGCTCCATTTGGGAGAGTACAAAGAGATCTTCATCCGCCATGACATCAGAGGGGCTGAACTTTTGCACCTGGAAAGGCAAGACCTGAAGGTATTACCTTTGTGCTACTTTTCCACTTTTGAAATTTTGTTGCAGAACAGAATCCTTGCTCCTGCCTTGCTTCTGTTATGTGCTTCTAGCTTGGCTTACGTTATACAAATGTGCTGTCATCTCACATGCATTGTCCTGTGGCCTGAATTCCTTGTGCGTTCTCTAAACAAGACTGTCCGCTAACTCTTCCTGTCCAAAGCCATTCACCAACCACCAACTAATAGAGCTAAAACTCAACATGAACTTGGTACTTCTCAGCATCCGTACGTGCGACTGCTGCTGTGCTAATACTTTTCAAATGGATCGTTAACTGACAAAATGACTAAAAAATACGTGTAATGTAAGGTTCACAACAACAACAGAACGAATTCAGAAGACCAATTATAAAGACTTTCTAATAAACGGAACTAGATTAGAGACTTATAAAACCAGAAAACCAAACCGATTGCCGTCAAGTTGATTCTGAGGCTTGTCACCCTTTAGGAAAGAGCGCAAGTTCCCAAGGCTGTAAAACCTAACAGAAGTACACTTCCACATCTTTCTCCTGCAGCTGAGAGCTTTGGCCACTGTGCCAAACTCTTGAAAGACTTAAGGAGTCCAAGTGTGGTGCCTTAGGATAAGCACTTGACCTCAAGGTCGATTTGAACTGCAAGGCAGGTGGTTCAAACTCCCCAGCTGCTTATTGGAAACCCTATACAAGGTTGCTCTGAGTTGCAACTGACTGGACGACACTTAACAACTCTAGTTATACAGTTTTGCTGGATTTCTAAATTGACCTCTTTTGTAAGTCACATGAACAACTCGACCAATAAATTCACATTTTCTTTCCTTCACTTAATTGCTAAAATTTTACTAGTCTCGAAAAGAAAATTTCTTTCCTAAATGAAACTTTACAACAATGCCTGTCTTTTGTTAGAAAGCGGCTCAGAGCCTGACTGTCTTTCGCAGCAGGAAAGGAAAGCTCTCTGCTCATGGTCTAGCACATTCCCTTTTCTCTTCTCGTTGGGGACTCAACAGGAGCAACAGCACAAGTCTGCGTCTGTCCAGGAGTGAGGCATGGGCCCTTGTCATATGTAAGGGGGCTTCGGAAAGTTCTTGGGAAAACTCCATTCTCTCTTCAGTCCACTTGTTACCCAAACTCTTAGAAGCTCCCTCATATTTTCTTCCCCCAGCCTTCCATTTTAATATGTTTGATTTATAGGCAAGTGACCAAAGCCTTCAACATTTGTTGGAGTCTGACCTCTTTTTGGAATGAGGAATTGCTAGAGAAAACCCACTTTTAAGCTCACTATTTTTTTTGTATACCAAGTTCTAAAATTCATATAATTTTGACAACAGTATATTTATGAAGTGTTTGCCTCTATCTATAAATACGTTAGCAAAGATCTCTGAACAGACCGTGAATACTATTGCATGTAGGTCATTATTAAAGGAGAGCCATGAAGAGTTTTATCACGTCAAAAAGTAAATACTACTTCTCCCAAACCTTTTTGTTGAGCATAGCAATAAAATGATAAATTAGTTCACTCGCTTAATTTCAAGTCACAAGTGAATGCATCTCTGACTGAGGCCATAAGTTTAGTAAGTAATAGTGCTAGAGTTCATAATGGAAAAGGCTTTAGTATTTAAAATGAATCCATAAAAAAACAAATCTTTATATTCAAGATATTTATCCCTGGCAGGCAATGATATTTAGTGAGTTGTTATTGCTGTTAAGTGCTGTTGAATCAGTTCTGACTCACAGCTACCCTGAGTAGGATTTCCTAAGAGCAGCTGGTGGCCTTGAATTACTGACCTTGCGGTTCAGCTGACTTTACAGTCCAGTGCATTAATCCACAGCACTCCACTAGGACTCCTATTTAGTGACTTGTTGTTGTTGTTGTTAAGTGCCATCAAGTTGATTCCAACCCATAGTGACCCTGTATAGGTTTTCCAAGGAGCAGCTGATGAGCTTGAACCACCGAACTTGCAGTTCAAATGACTTTGCCGTCTGATGCATTAGCCTCCAGCGCCACACCAGGACTCCTTTTAAATACATTATTTCAACTTCTCTAGGTGCTGTCTGCCCTCGACAAGCTTGCTTTTGATTTGCCATGAATAATGTGGTGGTTATGTGCCATGGAGTCTGTTCTGACTCATAGCGACCCCGTACTGTGTTTCTGAGCCTGTAAATCTTTAAAGCAGAAAGCATCTTCTTTCTCCCGCAGAACAGCTGGTAGTTTCAAACTGCTGACCTTGAGGTTCTCAGCCCGATTCGTAACCGCTACGCTACCAGAGCTCCTTAAAAGAATGTGTTTGCATGTGTTAGAGACACTCACACGATATGTGTTTTCTTTGTATATGTATCTGTTGTGGTAGTGGCGGTGGTGGTGTGCCATGGAGTCGATTCTGACACATAGCAATGCTGCATAGGGTTTCTGAGCCTCATCTTTCTCATGCGGAACTGCTGATAGTTTAGAACTGCTGACCTTTAGGTTAGTAGTCTGACTCGTACCACTACACTATCCATAAACTATACAAACTTACTGATGCACATGACGAGTGAAGTAAACCTTTGCAGAATCAAAAAACAAAGCTCACGTATGTACTGAGTAACAGAGTAATAACACTTAGAAATTTAAAAAGTAAAATAAAAATAAAATGAAATGGGAACAGTTAAAAATTCAGCTTTTTCCTTCCGTTACATGGGCTGTTTGGTTTTTCATTTTTAATACAAATTACATCCTCTCCCTTACAACTCTTCTCTTAGTAATTTATATAGGCACCGTCCACTTTTAACAATTTTGGTTCTAAATTTGGGTCTTGAGAAACAGAAAAAGGAAAGTAATTTTACAGAGCGAGCCCTCTGTAGCACAGAACTCTGAAGCTAGGGAACGGTCTCTCCTTGTTCTTGGTGGCTGTGGACGTCAGAAAGGGCACACCCCTCAGAATAAAATCTGTGTTCGGTGAAAGATTATTTACTCCCTAGATAATCTCACCCGTCGCCACTACTTCACAGGCTGTTCTTAGGCGCTCTCCAGTCGGTTCTGACTCACAGTAGCCCTGTATAGGGTTTCCAAGGAACAGTTGATGGGTTTGAACCTTGGATCTTGCAGTTAGCAGCCCAGTGCTTATCCTACAGCTCCACACCAGAACTTTACATGTTGTCGTTAAGTGACATGGAGTCAGTTCTGACTCATAGTGACCCCACATAGGGTGTCCGAGGAGCGGCTGGTGAGCTGGAACTGCTGACCTTGCAGTCCAGCGCATTAACCCGCAATACCACACCAGGACTCCAGGACTTTACATGTTGTTGTTAAGTGCCATCGAGTTGGTTCCGACCTATCGCAACCCTTTATAGAGTTTCCGAGGAGTGGCTGGTGATCTTGAACCACAGACCTTGCAGATCAAACCGACTTCGCAGTCTAGAGCATTAACCCACCAGAACTTTACATACTAACTGTTATATATATATTTCCAGCCCTTACCTCATTTATGAACTGTAGCCTGTCACCAACTGACTGACTGATCCTTGGATATCACACAGGGATGTCAGCCAAACCCTTGATTTCCTGTTCCACTCCCATTCTTCCCCCTTGCCTAGGTTCTGCATTTTAGGAAATCACACCTCTGTTCCAGATGCTCAAGACAGAGAAAAGAAATCCAGATTCCCATTTCACACCTTCCTCCTGTTTATCCTTCTCCCTGCACCCATCGAGGCCATCACCAATCCATGTTGATTTGAGTCTCCATTCATTCTCTTCATCTGTTTTCCACAATCCCAGTCCAACCTACTGTCACATCAGCAGCGCCCTAGCTGGCCACTCACTAGCCTCTACTCTTGTCCTCTCTCAAGCATTATCCACTTTGCAACCAGACTGATACTTTAAAAGTAAAAACCAGATGTATCACCTTTCTGCTTAAAACCCTTCAGAGGCTTCGTGTTGTTTTAGGATAGAAACCCACGCCTTGATGGAGACTTACAACGTTCTGCCTATTTAGTAGTGGGTTCTCTGCTGTGGTGCTTAACCGCAAGGTCAGCAGTTCGAACCCACCAGCTGCTCCACAGGAGAAAGAGGAGACTGTCTGCTCCCATAAATAGTTACAGCCTTGTAATCCCTATGAGTTGGAAGTGACTCCATGGCAGTGAGTTGATGGAGTCACTGGCCCACCTAGTCTGGCCTGATTTCATTGACATAAAAACAAAACAAAAACCACTTTAACTCTTTGACATCAGAGTGGTGTATGCTCATTGCTGCATTTCTCCCTCTATCTTTCACCCGGCTAACTCTGCTCAGATTTTGACTTACGTGTTACTTCCTATCACTGAATCCTCCAGATAGCAAAAAGGAGTGCTGGTGACGCAACAGTTAAGCATAGTGGCGACTAAAGATGGAAAAGGGAAGTTTTTTATAAGGTTTGTTGGCGCTCAAACATGCAAACTGACTGCTTTGTTTTTCCTGCTGCCAGACAGACAGTAGGAGAGAATGAAGAAGATGATAAAGACGCAGTGTTTTTGTCTGACTGGTTCAGAATTGCCAGCAGCATAAAGTCTATGGGAGAGAGAAAACGCACGTGTATCGACTTCAAACAATTTTATGCATGCCACTTAAAAGTTTAAAAATAAATAACACTCTCCATGTACAAAACAGGAATCCTTGTCTTCCTGGACCAATATTCTCGTGATGCCTTAGAATCCTGCATTAGAAGTCATCTTTATACCAATTTTTAAGCATTTCAAACTCTGTATTGTGGCTTCAAACATTAGCAAACTGGTTATAGGCTTTACAGTTAAATCAACTGTGGGATCTAGAAGGTTTAACCCCTTCATTTAGTTTTTCAGAGAATGTCATGACCTCCTTGGATAGGTTTCATTCTTTTCCTTCAGCAGATATTTGATGATTGCCTGATGTGTTGCACACTGTAGTCATCATCCATTTTTGGAGGTTAAAAATTGAATTCTTGGTACTTTATGGGAAGGCAGATCTTTAAGAAAATAATTCTGAAAGAAAGGAGTGTTTAAGTGAAAGCGCCAACTAATAAATACTATGCTTAAGGTTTTGTTTTTTTTAATTTTCACATATACGTACAAAATTTAAAGAATATTTAAATACCCCTCTCAGTTCAAAGAACCTAAGTGCAACTGTCAATTCATTAACTAACCAAATGTAGTAGCAGACACTGGGACTTTCATCAAGGATTTGACTTAAAAATTTTTTTTGAGTATTTTAGCACAGAAAATGTTGCTAGAGGGACTAATTGTGGATTCTGTAGTGTCATTTTCATTTTCATCAGAGACCCAAAAAAGGCCTTTGTTTTGGGGGAAATAAAGACACCTATATTAGTTTTGACTCTTGAAGTACTACCATTTCTTAAGAGTTTTTTTTAGGACATCACAGGTGAGGATTTGTGCAGGATGTGATTTTTTTTACTGATTGCTGGGTTTTTTTAGTATGTCAGATTTTTGTTTTATAGATTTGTTTTCCTAACATTAACTTTGTGAAACATTGAAAATAAACTAAAATGGATGAACTGAATGTTAATTATATTTAATCTTCATTTTCTCCCACCAATAAACCTTTCTCTTTTTTTCCCCTTCTCTCTTGTCTTTTTCTATTTATTTTTCCTTTTTTAGGACCTAGGGATACCGAAAGTGGGTCATGTGAAGCGAATTCTTCAGGGAATTAAAGAGCTTGGGAGCGCTTCCCAGTCTGAGGTGTAATCGTACTGGTGCTATTCCTTGGGAGAGAAGTAATTGCTACTTAATACAGAGTTCTTGGAAGTAACTTGCTGTTTTTGTAATTTTCTATATAGATAAGGAAGTACCACTGAAACACCTCTTTAGCTTGATATTTTGTTGTGGGTGAAAATTAAGATTTGAAATATTAGAAATTATTTTTTTTGGGGAAAAAAAAAAGCCCCAAAACATTCCATGAAGCCATTTTTCTTACTGTGCAAACCTGACTTGTTCAAATATGTTCACATTAGTAAAAAGGTAGGAGGGGTCTGAGACAATTGCATTGTCTAAAAGGATAAATTACAACGATCAACATGTCTACTCTCCTTACTCCTGATGGAATGTTCTTATTGTGTAACCACATAACAACATGTAGCTGAAACTGTTTCCGTTTCATTATTGGAGGCATCGGCTTCTCCTTGACAGTGATGAGAAGGAGACTGGGATACATCCAGTTGTTTAGTGGGTCAGATTGGTATCATCTCAGTGGTCACAGAATATGCTTAAAACCCCTCAGATGCTCTGATGGAGGGAAGTCTTCATGTACACGGTTCCTGCCTGACACTGCCTTTCTTCTTCTTGCATGTCACATCTAATGTTGTAAGACTGTCACAGTCTTAATGTCAGTTTTCATAGAATTTAATTTATTACTACCCAAGTACCATTTGGTTGGTTAGGGGCACTTTTCTTTAATGTGGAATTTTACATAAATATTGTATCTCAAAGAACTTGTGGACATGTTTCTGTGCCACAATCAACAAATGATAGAGATCCTTTGCAAGCCAATTTTGTTTCAACAACAGTAGGTGTGCAAAATAAGAAAATTCTCTGTGTGTTTCCATAAAGTGCCATGCTCTATTGCTGAACAAAACTTACTATAGCTTTCTAAACCCAAACTTCCACATTTTGTTCTTATGCTTAATTTCCCTGTCATGATTATCTACCATTCTGTTGGGGCTTATAATAATAGTAGGCCTTGACACCGAGGAACTCCCACAGGTCTGAGGTTGGGTAGACTGAAGGGTCATCCAGACTTACCCACTAGCTTAAAGGACTCCTGCAACAAACGTCCCAACCAAGGAGACGGCCTCTTTTGGCTTTAAGACTTTACATTATGGATGTGGAACCTTTTTTCTGCCAAGGGCATTTGGATATTTATAACATCATTTGTGGGCCATACGAAGTTATCAACTTAAAAATTAGCCTGCTATATTTGGTCAAACATTTAATTAATTCACCTCTAATATGGTTGCAACCGCGGTTGCCTTGGCAGGGCCAGACATTCCCCACCCCTGCTTTTCATTATTATTACTATTATTATTGTTTTTCTTATCAACATCATCATCTCATTTAATTCTTATGAGGTAGATATTGTTTTCCTTTTTATAGACCACTGGTCAATGGGCACTTCCTGTTGTTTATTTGTTTCTCCTGTGGAATTGTATGTAAAAATTCTATATTTAAGAATTTATGAACATACATAGTTTTGTTCATTAGGAGTCAAAATTACAATGACCAGATCCTTGGAAGCCAAGGTTGCACACATCAAAAAGTCACAAAAAAATCCTTAAGTAAGCTTTGTTTCGACATCATAATAGAGTACTTTAAATAATCCTACATAAAGAAAAACTAATAGGGGACTGACCCAATGGTGATAGTCTTCATAAAGTAGACTCCTAGGTGCTCAGTAGATCCATATACATACACAGACATATATGCATATAGACACATATACATTTATATGTGTATACACACATACATATGCTCTTGAGATATGGTCTCATCCATCTTTTCTAAACAATTGTTTGTAAAATATTAAGAGTTATTGATACAAGAATATTTTAAATGCTGCATAATTTAATTATATCAATGGAGTTTATTTGACACTTTTTTTTTTTTTTTCATGACGTGGGTATTTGACTAACCAATAGAAAATCACCAAATTTGACTATGCCTTAAAAAAAAAAAAATTAACCTGCTGGGTCCCTGACCAAATGTTTCTAATATATATTTCACTTGTTTTAAGTTGTGACTAAGTGCAAATTTTCCAAAGGGAATTAATTATACCAAGTAGTTTAAAAGAAGAATAAGGGACTCATTAATTTCAATTTTATCCCCACCTATGAAACCAAGTCTCCTGTTCTAGGTGATTTTATGCAGTCCTCATCCTGCATGCTGGCCTGCTAAGCAAAATAGGAGGTGCCAGACTCTCAGAAGGGAAGGGTACTATTCTGATATTATAGATTGTAGTCCAACTCAACCAAAATGGGAAAGTGGGTGGGGTCGGGGGGACGTGGGGGCTAGGGGAAAAGAGGAATGTTAGGTAAAACACCAGTATAGAAGACATCATTATTGATTTTCACTGCTCAAAAATATTCATTTGCACATAGAAAAAATTCTCAAACTACTGTATATTCAGAATTCAAGAGTGAAATGTGACTGGATTTTTATTTTTGTTTTATGTTGATCTTTTAAATAATTTCTTTCCTCAATCCTGTCAAAACCACAATTAACCAAAACCTAAAATAGAATCTTTAATTGACTAGAATGTTCCTACAAGTGGTATTTGGATAAAGGAGATATTTTACAATGAAAATTTTGCTATATCTTTCATTCACTGAGAGTCATGGGTCCCATAAGCTCTGTCCATGCCTGTGTCAGTATGGTGTGCTTAGAGCCTCCCAAGATGGTGCTCTTGGCCGCACTAAGGAGATAGCGTCTCATAACAGATAAAAAAAAAATCCATTGAGTTGATCATGACTCAGGGTGACCCCATGGTGTCAGAATAGTACTGTGCTCCGTAAGGTTTTCAATGGCAGATATCTGGGGATTAAATCATCATGTCTTTCTTCCTAGGTGTCTCTGGTTGGACGCAAACTGCCAACCTTTCTGTTAGCAGCTGAGTATGTTAAACTCTGTCTTAACAGTAGATGGGGATTACAAAAAAATGGTGGAGGGAGGATCTGACCACAATCTGGGCATGCATTGGAGGACTCTCTCCTGTGATCTGTGCATAAACTTGCCTGAGATGCCCTCCTGCACCTACCTTGCCCCCTCTCTCCCAGCTGGATGCTCCCAGACCTGGATGATTTGGGAGTGGCTGAGGGGAATCACAGCCAAAGCCTACTTCTTTTCATGGCCTCCTTTTTCACTGGAAGAAGTTACTTTTCAAGAAGGGCCGAGTCAGCCCTAAAGTAAAATTTCAGAGCACACAGCTTCTCTTCAGTGCCTTTCCGCTTCCCTTTCTGAGTTTCTGCCTGCTTCCGGGCTTTGTTTTTTCTCACATGCCCAGTACAGTGATGCTATTCCAGTTCTCACGGTCATCACTACAGAATTACCCCTGACTTCTCTCCCACTGCAAATGTGCATTGTGGGGAGAAAATAGTTGAAAGAATCTAATTTTTCAGTTTGCATTTTATAAAAGGATACTTGCTAGTCTAAATGACTCGATGGCTGAGTAATGTGGGACCTGGGAAGAGAAGAAGTGGTCTGGAAATGTCTGGATCCATGCTGTCGTTGTATATGGTCACCACTGGTCACATGTGGCCATTAGGAATTTAATTTAACTTCACAGAAATTCATTTTCTTCATGGCACTTGCCACACTTCAAGCTCCAATAACCATTGTGGGCAGTCTAAATCTGGAATGTTTCCATTATTGAAAATTTCTACTGCACGCTTACATCCTTGTTACTCAAAATGTGGTCCGGGGCCCAGCAGCAGTCAGCATCACCTGGGAGCTTATAGAAAATGCAGAATCTCAGGTTCATTCCTTAGAACTCAGGTGATCAGCCCTGGTCCAGATCCATTTTATCACTCTTGGGAATTAGGGACCAGAGGCCTTCAGAAGGTCCTCACAATAGCTTGCTGGCTTTCTCCTTCATTACTAACTGTGGTTTCTTCTCCATCATTATTTCTAATTTGTGTCTCCCCAGTGGCTTTATTTTCGTAGCTGAGGCAGAACACAGAAGAGGTGGCCTTTCATCACTCCTTATCCACCGCACCTCTAAGCCACTTACTCCATAGTACTCACCTTGTTGGTCAGGTGGCATGTTCATTTGGTCTCAGAGACTCTCAAACAGGAACACTTCTGAAGGATATGTACTGAGATTACTTAAGACCAGCTCAGTCTTCTCATCTCCAACTTGTCCATTTTTGTTTTCTCTTGCCAGAGATTATCTTGAATCTGGCTCAGGTTTAAGAACACATAGCAGCACATCCACATTAAAGGAATCGTTAAGTATGATGCAAAAAAAAAGTTGCAAAGAACCAAAATCATTACAAGTAAAGTGAATGTTTATTACGGCCCTCAAAGAAGACATGCTTTGCTAGATTCAGATGTTTGTGTTAACTTATCGCGAGTTTTACTTGGTTTATCACTCCTTAAAATATGATTGTACCTGCAGCATTTCATATTCTTGACACCCCCCCAAATATGAACTATTTAAAATTCTGTAGTAAGATCTTTTCCAGTATAATAAGATCATTCCAATCTCTTTGACTTCCTTTGTTTTTGTTTTGTTGTTAACATATTGATCAAATTTACCCAAACATTATTGCCCGTTGATTCTTTTAACTATTTTTAATGTCCTATTCTAGCCTTGAAAGTTATTTTATTTTACTTTCAAGTTTTTATTGTGAATTGAGTGAAAATCCACAAGGCAGATCATCAGTTTTACATTCAGTAAATCATATACTTCATTTCTTTGATACAAGTTATTTTTAAGACAATCAGGAAGAAAATATTCCTGCAAAGCCATGACTTAGAACATTTTAGTGCCCATTGTAGTGGGTACTGTGTGCATCATTTCTAAAGCAAACTATGTGGTATCTTCTACCATGATGTGACATGCATACATAACATATAGTTATAAAAGCATTGAATCCGTCACCCTGGACATCTCGGGGCTTTCCTGTCCCACAAAACAAGCTTGCCCTGAGTCTTTCAGATGCTTGTTGGCTAAGGGTTAAAGTTTGGTAATGCAA